TGAGCCTCATAAACATAATATTGAGCAAAAGGAGCCAGATACAAGAAAAAACACAGTGTATGACCCACTGATGTGAAATGCCAAACCAGGCAAAACTAACCTCTGGCATAAGAACTCAGGCCATCACTTACCTGGGGACATGGGCAGTGACTAGCAGCGAGGACACATGGGTGAGGTTAAAACAGCATAAACGCCTGGTAAAAATTATCAAGGTGCTTTCAGCTTTCAGCTCGGAGGAGGCCAAGGTACAACTTTCTTTGGTTGTCCTGCACCTGCCACCTTCACCATGCCACCCAAGCGCAACCCCAACAAGATCAAAGTCATGTTCCAGAGGGGTGCCACTGGTGAGGTTGGCACCAGGGCTACTCTGGCCCCCCCAGATCAGTGTCCTGGGCCTGTCTTCCAAAAGAGTGGATCATGACATCATCAAGGGACCTGGTAACTGGAAGGGTCTGAGGGTTCCAGTGACAATGACCACGCAGAACAGACAGGCCCAGATTGAGGTGGTGCCTTCTGCTAGTCTTCTGTAGATCATTCATGCAGTTGTGGTTATGCAGATTGGCTGGCCGGATGGCTCAAGATGGCCTGTGCTGGTTATTGATTTACTATCTTCGCTCCAAACTGACCTCTTCTCCCTGCACCATTGGAAAGGATCTGAGCCCTTAAAATGTGTGTTTCCTTTGCCAGATAACAAGACCTTCAACTTTGTCAGGGGAGGTGCTGAGAGGCAGTGAGTAGGAAGGGGTTTAGCTTCCTGGTCACAGTGGGCTGGCTCATCAAGACTCCTGTAGGGTGAGCAGTCTCCCCAGGCCCCGCTCCTGCTACATGGATGCCTGCTCCAGCTCCAGACTCCCATAGCGCACAGCAGCCAGCAGCATCTGGCAGTGAACAGCTTGTCGAAGAAGCCTTGGCAAAGTATTTCATAGCAGTCTCTCAAGTGAGACATTACCCTATGAATGGCTTCCCCTCATACCTGAGAGAGCACATTTTCAGCGCCTTCCAGGGGAACTTTAACCAAGTTCCACAGGCCTGAGGTGGCACCAGGACAACTTCTCTGCCATTCAGTGAGTCATAGCCAAAGACACCTGCATCTCAGTCTTGGGGATACCCCTCCTTGAATGCTGTACATCAGCCCCATGATTAGTGGCAGGTCCTTACATCTGCTATTTCTATATTCTTTTAGAGTTCTTTTATAACTCAATCCCTCATTGTTCCAACCCTATTATAATGAATAATTCTTTACTGCCTGGTCGAAGTATTATGTAGTAATCTCTCTCCTTGTGGAACCAAAACAGATTCATCCCTCCCTCAACTCACTCACACATCTAGTGGTTGTTACTGCTCTCTCTTTCTCTCTCTCCCTCCCTTCCTCTGTCTCTGGCAGGATGGGTTCAATTAAGTTTCATGGTAATTACAGAATGCAAGCCCGTTTGAGGTGAAGACTCAGATGTAAAAACATCACCTCAACCCATTCCTATCTGTAGCTCAGAGTAGGCCATAAGGCGGAGAGGGGGCAAGACTCCAAAGTGCGGGAAATAGAATCCATCTCTTAAATGATGAAGTCACACCGCAAGGGGATGTACAGGAATAGGAGGAATTGTTGCAGCCATCACTGTAAACAGGCTACCGCAAATTCTCAGCATTTGAATTATCAGACACACACTGCTGTGGAAAGTAATCTTGGCCCTACTCCAGAACTGCTAAGTCCAAATATATGGAGTGAGATCTGAGAATCTAAAATTTTAACACTCTTTTCTTTCTCACCTCCCCAGTGATTCATACTCATATTAAAACTTGAGAACCATTAATCTAAACTCACATAACATTTATTCTCACTCATCATTTTCCAGAATACCACTCCACTGCCTTCTTTTCTTACTTCTGTTGTCAGTTTTATTGTTGCCTTTAAGATTTTCCTCTCACTGTTTTGTTCTCAGCCGTTATACTATAATAGGCCCTCGTTCAGTTTTTTTTTCTGTTTGTTCTACTTGGGATTTAAAATGATTCTTAATCATAGATCATCACAAAGTATTGCTTACAGTTTCACTTAATTTCTTTTTTCTCGCCTTGGCTTCTCTCCTCTCCTTTCCCAATTCTTTCTTCCTATGGGACTTCAATTATACACATTTAGACATTTTCACCATGTTCAATCTAACTCTTTTCTGTATTGTATGTGCTGTAGTCTGGATACTTGGGCCTTGTCTTTCAGTTGACTAATTTTACCTTAAGCTGTGTTAATAGACTATAATATCAACCTAATTAATTACTGATTTCAGGATTGTATTTCAGGCTTAGAACTTTCATTTGATTCTCTGAACAGACTCTAGTTTTCTGATATTCACTTTTTCCATTAAATTTTTTTACTATATTAATCACATACGATTTTTAACCACATATGTTTTAAAGTCCACATCTCATAATGCCAGTATCTGGATCTCCTATGCTCCTGCTGTTATCTTTTTTTTGGTCTTGGTCTTTAATGATTTGGTCTTGTCTCTAAGAGGTCAGGTAAATCTTAACTGCATGCCAGGTATGATTATGAGAAAATTATTGGAAAATCTAAGCCTTTGGATTGCTATTATCTTCATTCACAAAAATTTCTCTTCTGCTTTTTGTAGGGAAGTCCTATAAGGGAATAAACTGATTGGATGCTAGGCTTCAACTTTTCCAGGGCTAGTCTATCTCTAATTCACCTTTACTCCTACAGCGCTTTTCTTCAAGGGCTGTAATTGAAAGCCTTGTATATTTATTAAGGATTCCCTTCCTTTGTAGACACTGAAATCCATTTTTATACACCAGTCTCACAGTATCACCACCTTCTTTGCCTTTCCTTGAGAAATAGCATATGCTCTGTGAGGGAAAATGGCAGCTAAAAATGGAGCTTTTCTCCCTGCATTTCTTTTCTCTTTAGAATATTGCTTCTGTAGTTCTCTAACGCCTAGACACACACACACACACACACACACACTCACACTCATAAATTTATTTTGTTTAGTTCTTTTAATAATTCCTAGTGAGAAAGTTAGTCCATACTTACTGGAAATGGAAAATATGTCCTCACTTAATATTTACTTATTTATTTGAGCCTATGTAGTTCAGCCTGGCCTTCAACTCCCTACGTAGTCCAAGCTGGCCTCATATCCATGGCAATCCTCCGGTCTCAGCTTCCCGAGTGCTGGGGTTACAGCACACCCAGCAATAATTTTTTTTTCAGGGACACAAACCATGATCCTCTTTGTTGTACTATGGCCTCCCTTATTTTAAGTCTTCAGTGGATAATAATTTATGAATTTTATTTTCGTTTTTAAATCTGAAGCTGTAGGGAGAAAAGGAATTACGTTTCCATAGTACTAGATATTGGATCCAGAAAACACTTGCCCGAAGGTCCCCTGACTCTGATCCACTAAAAAGTTAACGATCTAGCTGAGTCTTGAATCCAGAATCAGAGCCCTGCTTTTCCCCACCCTGCCAGATTATACTTTAATGGTTAGGAACATGGACTTGGGAATCCAGCAGATCTGAGTTTAAACGCCAGCTCTGCCCCTTATCAACTGTGTGGCTTTGGATATTTTCCATGAACTCTCACAAGAGATTCCTCACCTGGTAAAATGAAGACGGTAATAACAGGAGCTACTGAAGATAGGACGATTGGGAAGATGGTGTGAGGCAATGTGCATAAAGTGCTTGGCAGCGTAAATGGATCTGTACCTAGGAGTTAGTATTTAAGGGAGGATTAGCATGGTGAACAAGAACCCTGGTTCCCGCACTCTTCCTATGAGTTTCAGAGATATCACAGCAACCAGTGATATCTCACCACCTTGCCCTTCCTGAAAGGATTCTGAAGGGACCCTAGTTCCTCTCAGGCAGGCCCCAAATACCCTCCCCAGCCCTGCTGATAATCTTGTATCACTAAGGCAGGTGAGAGGCTGGGTTGCTGTCACTGCTTAAGGGTCTTCTGGCCCCTCGGGCCTGTGCTGCTTCTTCTGAAGTCTTTCATACAGCCTGGCAGTTGGGGTTGGAGGGAGACTCAGCAGCCCTGATGCTGGAAAAGCATTCCTGAAAAGCATACAATCTCTGTCTCTTGATGGCCCCCAAAGGGGCTTAAATGATAGAGTAGTTAAAAGCACAGAATTCCGAGCAGACAGACTTGCGTTCAAATCCCAAACACACTGCTTCTTAGTTGTGAGATCTTGGCTAAGTCCCTTCATTTCCCTGTCTTAGTTTCCTCACCTGTATCATGGAGTTCATAAAGGCACTGACTGGTAGAACTATTGGAAAGATCAAATGAGGTACAATATATGGTTCCTCTCTTTCCTCCTGCCCCTCAACACATAACTAAGAGCAAGTGCGGTAGCCCGTAGTAGAACGTGGGCTTCAGAGCCTTTCTTTGCCAACCCTGCTCACGACACCCCTAAAATGTCTCCTACTTTGAGGTTAATGCAGTGCTTCCCAATTTTCCCCTTCACAGTACATGCCAACATCTGGGTGGGTGCCCAGGGGCGGTTATGAAGCTGTCTGAGGCCTAAAGGTGACTGTCCCAGCAGGGCTGGGGACTCCAGCTGCCCCAGCCACCACTTAGCCATCATGGCTCAAGAGCTCGTACATCATAGCACACTTGTAACTTGTCATGTCCCCCAGCTGGGGACCTTGGGTCAAGATGTTTACAATTCTTGCTAAGAGTCAATCATCACACTGCCCAGCAGTGACACATTAACCCACTGTTTATAAATCCACCTCAGATAAGTTATTCAATCGCCTGGTAGAAGTCCAGATCTTTGAGTCCAGAACATGAAGACTCAAAAGAAAATCAGATGTTGGCTCCAGTCCAGACTTGGCCTCCAACTCATTGTGTGACCTTGGGCGAGTCATTCTACTGCTCTGGGTTTATTTTCCTGTCTAAAGCAGAAAGGACTTAAGCCAAGGCAAGACTGCTGAGCTCCCTTCCAACTCTGACATTCTAAGAATCAGAGATTCTATGAGTTCCCCCTCTGGAATGCTTAGCTGCCTTCTGTTCCTGGTGACTGTGGCTCCAATAGGCATGGAGAATGGTAGGCTTCCCTTGACTGTGCAGATGATATCAGTTCTTTCCATGTGCCATGTACCGGTCTTTGAAAAGAACCCATCCGGCTCATACCCATCCTCTCTGCCCATACTAACCGAATTCCTCTGAATCTTCTCTTTGCTCAGCTTCCCCACCTCACCACACGAGCCTCAGGCAGAGCAGCCCTCCCAGTCTCTTAGCACATTATCTGGCCTTAATATAGGGTTGCACGATTATGTGGAACAATGTAGAAGGCCGGGAAGACTTTGCAGAAGGAGCCCACCAGCCTCCCTGCAGGAGGAGAGCAGGATGCTGGGGACAGGGAGAGGGTGAGGCCATTGGTGGCATACGGTGTGGAGTGGGGGTCACCACACTCTGGAGGGCCTGGACTTGGCCTTGTGGGCAGTGAGGCGACACCAAGGACACTGCAGAACAGGAAGGCAGATGGAGCAGAGAGTGATGGCGACTGTTAGAGAAGTGTGAACGACAATCGCGACAAAGCAGTGAGGACAGCAAAGGCAGAAGGAAGAACGGGGTGTCAGGCATTAAAACTCCCTCAGTGGTGCTTTTTGCCTCTTACAGATTTTTCTCCTTTGGTGGCCTCAACATTCAGGCATTATTGTCTCTGTTTTGCAGGTAAGAAACTTGTGGTAGTGACAGAGCCAGGCCCTCAAATCCAGGTCTGCCGTCTCCTGGCCATTCACTTGGCCATGGAAGACTGCTTCACTGAGACAGCTGGCCGGAGGACGGACAGGGAAGCTCGGCCACCTGAGCCGCTGCCACTTTCTCTCCCCGGTCTCCTCTCCCACACACCCCACCTCCCCTACCAAATGGTAACAGGAGACACCTTCACTTCTCTTGGCTTTGGCTGATGGCGCAAGCAGGGCCAGTGAAGGTTTTCTACATTCAAATACAAACAGGGGCAACTTCTAAGAAAAAAAAATGGAATCTCACATGAATCACTGAAATGGACTGAACTAGACAAGAATCTTCTCACACTGGCCCAGAGACGGTGGATTCAAGGTTATCCAGTTGTACAGTGACCCCGCTTGTCCAGCGCCCCCCTCGTTTTGGCACCCTTCATGACATGTGGGGACACGAGTCCCCGGCATTCCTAGCAGACTCATTTTTGAGCATCCTTCAGGTCCACAGGTAGAATTCAGGATGTCTCTGAACCTGGATGGAAAACATTCCACTTCTATTTTCACTAAGCTCTAACTCAAGCCAAACATTTTGTTCTATAAGGAACGTAAGCCATGCACCCTAGCAGTGTTCGCAGCTCCTGTGACTGGGTCACCAAGAGAAATCAAGACATTTTCACACCACCTAATAGTCACTGCAAATCTTTCCAGATATCATTTATGCTCAGCTCTACTTTATTTATTTATTTTTAGTACCGGGAATCAAACTCAGGAGCTTGCGCTTGCCAGGCAGGCGCTGCACCGCTGAGCTATATCCCCGGCCCTCAGCTCTCCTTAAAAGTCACCATAGTTAATATATCTGCCACCAGACCTCATTTTTAATGCATTAGGAAAGAAGCACATATACTACATCATAAACATGAAAAGATCTTGGTAACTGTATTTCAATATGATTGGTTCCCATTGTTGTCCTATATATTTTATTTTATAGTTTTTAAAGACGCTCTGGGAAGGGCTCCATAGGCTTCCCCAGATCGCCAGATGGTACCATGGCATCATATGGTTAAGAACCTCTGCCTAGGACTTCTCTTCCTGAAGAGAGGCGGCCAGGGAGCCTGCCGGAGGATGCCAAAAGAGGGTATTTAGGGCCCAGGGTCCCCGGAGGCCCCTCTGCTCCAGTGTGCACTCTCAGCCCAAGGAAAATGAGACAGGAAACTGGGGCAGGAGCAAGGGGACTCTGAGAAGTAGAGCAGAAGCCAACAGGCCAGGCTGCAGGGATCAGTCTAGTGGCACAGAACTGAATTCCTTCACCCCCAGCTCTGCCATGCTCCTGAGGACCCCGGGGATCCAGTCCCTCCCCCCCACACCCACCTTGTCTCTGTCTCTTCTCTGAGCAAAGAGAGCAGAAGCAACATGGCTGGAGAGGCCCTGCTTCTGGGTGTGCATCTGCGTCTGCCTGGCCTTCCTGTGTGACTCTGAGCAAATCATCTTCCCACCTGGACAGCAGTTCTTTTTTTTTTTTTCTTTTTTTTTACTTTTGAGAAATACATCTATTTTCTCCCACTATTTATATATATATATTTTTTGGACAGCAGTTCTGATACCTGCGTAACAGGGAGGCTGGCCTGCTCTGGGACAGCGTATCTCTGGCATTTCTTCTGCTGTTTCCCCTTGCCATGTCTGCAGCAGACATTATTGATCACAGACTCTGATTATTCCATGCCTGGGTGCAGCTCCAACACTGCTGCTGGATCAGACATAGCAAGTGAAACAAGGTTCATTTGCTACGACTGTACTAAATGAGCTACACGTAAAGCACCACCTACATTTCCACCTCCGATATTCCATGGCTCTAACGATCTGATCTCAGAAACCCAAGGAAGACACCAGACAGATGGTGAAGACTTGTAAGGAAGGCTATCTCTAATCTCTGATCCACAGAAAGATGTTCTCAGCTAGACTTTATATTTTCTTGCATGTACTCTAGAGCAAAACTGGGGTCAGAATAGGACACCTGCATGCTGAAATCTCAATAGAGCTCCCATGGCTCAGTCAGGTCTACTGCAGAGGAAGGAAGGGAGACAGGTGGAAATCAAACTCTTTGATCACAGTGTTGGGAAGTGATGCCCTTCACTACGTGCCACCAGGACCTTCCTCTCCCCAACTGTCCCACATCACAAGGGTCATCACGCAGTGATGGAGGCAGAGTGAACAACACTGGCTATCCTGCGATAATTTACACTCAGCGAGTGTAAGTGAGTCCACATGGACTCACTGTGTAGCCCAGGCTGACCTCAAACTCGTGGTGATCCTCCTGGTTCAGCCTCGAGGGCTGGGATTACAGGTATGCACCACCTTGCCTGGCCAAATGTTGTAATGAGTTTAACACACCTAGCACAACTATTAGCCTATAGTAGGTGCTTAATAACTGCAGTTACTCCACTAAAGTGTCTCCAAGCTTCACTTGTGGGGTCTGGAGGGACCCCCTCGACACTGCACCTAAATGTATCCATCTCAAGGCCCGCAGGCTGTGTGTGCCCAAAATTCTCACTCAGATACCCAAAACACTCAAATATATTCACACTATGTGGTTACTTTTCTCTCATTGCTGAGACAAAATACCCGATGCCCACAATTAAGGAAGGAAAGGTTTATTTAGCTGACAGTTTGTGGAGGTTTCAGTCCATAATCAGCTGGCTCCAAAACAGGGTGGAACATGGCACAGGGCAACACTTCAAGGCAGCAGAAGACAGCAAAAGCAACAAGAGCGAAAGGGTTGGCAAGCCTCTTTTCCTCCCTTATATTGTATGCTGGCTATCTTCCCAGGCCATCTCCCTGCCCTCCAGTTCCACAGGCTCAGGATGTTTACAAAGTGAGGACCCTGGCCTCCTGCTCAGCTTTTAAACTTCTCAAGTTGACACAATGTATCAACCATTACACACATACCCTGCATCCACCCTTGGGAGGATTCTGAGATGCCAAGGCTGGTTACCAAGGATAGGTGTTTAGCAGCCTTCCCTGGGGTGCAGCTGTGACTTCCCAGTGTGGGTTAGAATAGCGGCTCATCCCACAGCAAGAGGCTGGCTAGCAGGACCTTGCAGAGGCCAAAGAATTTTTGGACTTTAAACCCACTTGCTCCTGTGCACATGTGTACAAGCAAACACGCGTGCGCACATGTCCCTACATTCCCTATTCCTGGAAACTGCTGTGGCTTTCACTCTACCTCCCGCTCCCTTTGCCTCCCCTGGGAGGAAAGGCTGCCACAATCCTTGAAGTCAGCATTCCCTGAGATTTGTTTTCTTAGCAGGGAGCTGCAGGGGAGGAGAGAACAGGTTGGCTCACGCTCAAATGACTGAACAGAAGGGGCTTTGAGAAGAAAAGTGACTTAAACCCAAGTTCACCAGTAGGTCTTGCAGTATGACCTTGAACCCAAGATGGTCTGACTGCAAAGTGCCTGGCCTAACCTCTGGTCACGCTGCCTCCCTGACCACAGCCACATGTTGGGCCTGGTTTCCTTCCCAAGAGTCATGAGAAAATTCCATGACTTGGTGAGCTATTTGCCCCTTTTTATGATTCTACATTCTGAAAAGTTCTGATAAATAGTATTTAAAAACAACAACCAAAAAACCCTAAAAGGATTTAAACCCTGAGCCCCCATGGTTCCATTTGAGGAATTCTTTCATCACATAATTACTAACAACGATGACAGATCATAAAAACCATCACAAAGGTCATACTTTACAAAACATTGATGACCTGATTTCATCAATTCCGAATTGCATTTGTTTTTTAGATCTCTGCACTTATTTTAAAATATGTGCAATCTAAGCTTCCCTGACATACACTATTTGGCCCCAGGAATAACCCCAGTAGGCAAGCACTGCCAAAATTAAAATCCCCACTTTGCACCTGGGAACACTGAACTGTAGAGTGGGTAAGCAATTTGCCTGAGGATACTAAGCTAGTCAGTGCGGAACCAGGGCTGCGGCCGTTTCCTGATTCCCAGAACAAGCCATGTGCACCATATATTCCTGGCCTGCAAGCGTTGTACTCTCAGAGCCTGCCTCTTCCCACCACTGGCCTGGCCATGGCCCGGAGAGGCCAGAGCAGATCTCAGCTCTCCCATCTCCACTTCTACGGAGTGGGCCAGAGGTAGGTAAAACCCCTGTGGGGAATCCTGGGAACAGTCTAGTCCGTATCTGAAGTTCTCACACCCAAGGGCCCCCTTTCAAAAACAGGTCCCATGTATGAGGTAGAAGCAGCACTATTTGCACCTGGTGTTCTCATAAACCTGTGAAAGGGACATCTAAGGGCTCCCCTCTTGGGGTCCTCATGTTCTGAATATTCCTCACAAGCACCCTATTTCTTCTCTTTCAAAAGGTCAAACGAAAATTAAATATTGACTCTAGATAAGACCATACAGACAAACGGAAACATCACATTTCCCTGCTTTTGGCAAAATTTGCATCAGCTCTGCAGTTTGTCCCTGCTGACCAGAAAACACTGGCTGGCTCCTACGGGGCCACCATTCGCGATGAAGGGGAAAGCCCATTAGCACTCACTGTGCAACAGGCAGAAATCCTTCAGAACAAGGGGAGTGACAGGAAAACAGAAAAAGGGAAAAGCAGACCTAGGAACTGAGCTCCTCATTTTCCCAGATGGGGCCTGTAGGCTCAGAGAGCTGGAGTGACTTGTCCAAGGTCACAGAGCAGGGCCAGGAGCAGCTCCCAAGCTTTCTGCCCCTTGGACAGAGGCATCACTCCTGCTCCACCAGCCCCTTCTGAGGTTCAGGAAGCCAGAGGCCTCAGGACTTACCGTGGCTGCTGAAATGGGTCAGGACAGGGACCTGGCTTCCTCCTGTCACATGTGGACTCCTTCCTGGGGGCAACTGCCAAAGCCACGCTGTCTTTCCTTGTTGGGAGCCTGCCAGGGCCGCTAGGCATGGAGCCTCTTGGAAAGTGGGCTGTGTGCCAGGTGAACAAGGTCTCCCCAAAGAGAGGTCCCTCCGGGATATGCAGCAACCAGGCCCCGGGCTCACGGTGCCCGTGGAGGGCTCAGTTATATCCAGGCACGAGGCTGTCTCCTGCCACAGAGGGTGGGGATCTCTTCGGGTTGCCAGGCATTTCCAGCCAGCTGCTGGTGCCTTTAAGAGACCTGCCACCACTCATTGGCTGAGCAAGACTCCTCCTCCCTCTTTACCTGCACAGGTGAGAGTCCCCAGGCTTAGGGCAGACCAGGAACCCAGGTGAGTAAACAACCAGTGGACTCTGCCTCCTACACAGCCTCAGAGCTGGGCCTCCTTTCTCACCACCACCGGCTGACTCCACTGCGGGGAGCAGCCGGGCAGCAGCGGACCAAACACTACAGAATGCTCGGTGCCGTGCAGCTGACTGGCTCACAGGAGCCCCAGACCAGAGTGATTTATAGTCTTCTTTTTCAGGTAGAAAATTCCAGGCCCCAGGGGAAAAGGGACATGTGCAGATCAGAGCACTCTTGGCAGGAAGGCTGGCAGTGAGAGGATCTGAGGATCCAAACCCAAGGCTCTTCCTCTGACTCCCCGTACAGTGGTGGCAGTGAGAGGATCTGAGGATCCAAACCCAAGGCTCTTCCTCTGACTCCCCGTACAGTGGTACTGGGCCATACCACCGCCTTGTCGTGAGGGCTGTGGCAAATCCCTCACTGCCTCGGTTTCCTCATCTGTGAAATGGTACAGTCATGCCTGTGATTCTACACTCACTATATAAGTATGTATCCTTGGCTTAATGCTGAAAGCAGGTTTGGAGATTGTCTAGCTCATCCACTCATTTGGCATTCATTCATTGATTCATTCATTCATTCAACAGGCATTGTTATTCAGCAAACATCCCGTGGCTGGCACTATTTTCACTCTTAGGAAGACATCAATGGACAAGAGAGTCAAGAATCCGACTCTTCCTGAGTTGACATGCTAGGCAGAGGGGATTAGATATAAACAAGTCCGTAAGTTAGACAGGTAATAATGCCATGAAGAACGAAGCTGGTATGGTAAGGTAATGAGGATGAGTATTTGTGGGTATGTGGTCAGGGAGGCCCACTTCATGGAGGTGATTTTGCGGGAGATCTGGAATGATGGGAGGAGTGGAGCAAGAGTTAGCCAGGCCCTGGGGCAGATGTGTTTGGCGAACAGAAAGGAAGCTGCTCTGGCCAAAATCCAGACCAGTCCCTGTACTCCATTCTTTAATAGATAAGAAGGCATTCAGGGTGGTGACTCCACTCGCCCAAAATTCCTTTCTCATCCTCATATATGGAGGAGAAAAACTGAAGCCCAGCGGTCATTCCACTAGCCACACTGCTGTGACCTCATGCTTCCTCCACGCTGCAGAAAACGGCAAGCTCTCAGAGAGCAAGGACTATGATCTAAAAGTTTACTATATTGAAGAACAAAATCTTGACCAACAGAATATAGTATTAAAAGTTCTAGCCCTAATGCAAACTGCCAGGCAGTCTCACAGGGTCAGCACAGACCCTGGTGCAATTCCTTCCTACCTTGACTTTAAGAGGTTTTTATTTGGATATTTAAAACACAGCTGGCTGTTTTCCGCTATTGGCCTTGCTTTGCTGAGCTTGTTGGGTAATGGGATGGGATAAAGCAAACAGTGATGTTGGTATTTTTGAGGACCAGGGCTTTTGGTTTGGGATGAAGGATTCGTAAATAAAAGAGGGAAGGGGTTACATAAAAACCTTACAGTTCTGGATTTAGGGGAAACAAAGCTTCTGTAAGTAAGGAGGGGAAAGGGCTTGAAGGGAGGGGAGGAGAATGGGAAGAAAGGAAGATGCAAGATATATCACGTACAGGTACAAATTCCCTATGATGAATATTATCATTATGAATATCTAAATGTATCAATAAAATATAATTCTGGATATTTTTTGTGATGATGGGGCTTTCCAACAATAAGCAAGTGCTCTACTGCTGAGCTATACTCCCAGCCCAGAATCCTGGATTTCAATCCGAAGTTTTAGTCTGAGTTTTTAAGGTAACTGATCTGCACACAGACTAGATAACCATGTCTCCTCTTTCTGTCCCTTGTTTCCAGGTCTAGAAACAATGGCCAGCCCTTTAGTAAGCAGTGTGCGCTATCAGTGCACACACCGTCGTCTCTAAATATTATTTTCCTTGAAAAATAAACAGCTGATTCTGCTTTTGGGCTGAAAATGCACAGTATGTACTGAGACTATTTTCCACTGCCAAAATCAAGGATGGCGTTGTGTCAGGGAGACCTGAAGAGATTCTTGTTGGCCAAAGTCAACAATTTGAGCATCAAGAAAGAAAATAATTGCAGTGGGTTGAAAACCATCAAATATACTTAAATCCCTACGTTCATGATTATATATATTCACATGAACAATCCTCAGTGATCATCTTTGGAAGATGTTAGGAAATCAATTGGTTATTTTGAAAACTGGTGAGTCAAAGAGAAACAATCAAGCATTTATTCTGTCTTTCCCGTAAGAACTGTGCCTCAGGCAACCAAGGTCTCTACAGAAGCATTCCAGCAAGTAAAATGGAAAAAGAATGAAGGATTGACTTAACAGATCACCATTTTGTAACTCCTCCTGAATTAACTGATCTGATGGTATTACAAAAAAGAGAAAACAATCAGACAATTCTGGACGGAATTAAGTATCACCTCCTATGAAGAAATACTGTCCCCCAAAACCCAGCATGAATCTGATCAAGTCTTTAAAGCAGAGGTTGGCAGTATCTCTCTAAAGGGCCAGTATCTCTCCGCTGATATGTAATCTCTACTGCAACAGTTCAGTCCTAGACACATGCTACACACACGGGCCTGACTGTGTTCCAGTAAAATCCCATTTCCAAAACCTTCTCCCACCAAAAAAAGCCAAAACAGTGAAGCTATGGAGCATAACTTGCCAACTTGTTCTTGATCTGTCTACCAACTTACAGTGAACGTAAGGACTGAGGAACACGCAAAATGACACCACAGGGATAATAACAAGTAAAATCCAAACAAGGGGAATACTGGCAGGAAAATAACCTGATTTATTTAACCAATAAATTTTAAGATACAGGGAAGAGGGGGAGTAATGGAAGGTGTATTTGTGGATTCAAAGAAATTGAAGAAAAATATGAACCAGGCACAATTATAATTCAATCAAATATAAAAATAATTAAGGCAATTGGGAAAATGTGAACACTACTTGAATATTTGATGACATTTAAAAATATTCCTCACATCTAGAAGTATTTGATGATGTATTATAGTTAGGCTTATAAAGGAGAATAGGCCTGGGTGAGAACTGGCTCAGTGGTAAATACAGGTGTTTAGCATGTTCGAGGCCCTGGATCTGATCCCCAATAACACGAAAACAACAAAGCACAAGGGAGGATTTTAGAAATATATACTGAAATGTTCACAGATGAAGCAGTATGATGTCCAAGATTTGGTTCAAAATAATGGTAGATTATAAAGGAACAAAATCAGTAGGCATTGATAATTGTTGAATTAGATGACAGGTACATAGAAGTTCATTATTCTCTCTATGTAAATACTAGGAATTTTTCATTATGAAGAGTTAAAATATATTTATACCACTTCACACTCATTCACCTGACAAAATTTTGAAAATCTAACAAACCCAAATTTTTGCAAGGACATGGGGTAAGGGCAGCTCTCATAGCTGGTACAAAAATACCTAACTACAAACTTTATTTTTGTTTTTTTCAGACAGGATCTCACAATGTAGTCCAGGCTGGCCTCAAAGTCTCAGTGATTCTTCTGCCTCAGTTTCCCAAATGCTGGGATTATGTGTCTGCAGTTTATGTATACTCTATGATCCAAAAACTCCATGTCTGGATACTGTTAAATAAAAATTGCAGGAAGCCATTATTTTGGATTGGGTCTCAAGAGACCAGATGAAAAATCAAAATGGAATCAATCATGGTAAACTGTTTCAGATAGATGTAACTAAAAACTGTTCGTGTGACCTTATCAAATGAGTAAGGTCTCCTGGCCCCAGTCCACCAATAGGTTTAGAGACTCCATCACAGCCTGAGCTTTTCCTCCTCCAGCTACAGTGCTTATTAAATAATTGCATAGGGACCATTTGTAGTGGTCACCATTGTATCCCAGGGGTTTATTGAATGAATAAATGCTCTCAGATGACAAACATTGGCACACAGCTGGTGACTGGCCTGCCTGCTGATCTTAAAGCCTGGGCTAAGGAAATTGGTTTGAAGTTCTTCATTACAAGATGCTGACAGGTCGGAATGCTGGCACGTGCCTATAATCCCAGTGCTCAAAAGGCTGAAGCTGGAGGATCGCTGCAAGCTCGAGGTCAGCCTGGGCTACAAAGTCAGTTCAAGGCCAACCTGAACCGCATGATGAAACCCTGTCTTAAAAAGCCAAAAAAAAAAAAAAAATTTAAAAAAAAAAAAAAAGGAGAGGGTATGAGGCTCAACTGCAGGTTAACCAGGGCCTTCACTCTGCCTCTGTTGGTGAGTTGGGATTTTGACTTGGTTGTGGGGTACACGGATTGGGTTTCAGCCTGGAGATGGTCATAGAACTTGCTTCATAGTTGTTACAGGACAGCGAGTAAGTCCGGTGTGCACATATTTCCTACCCGGCTGGACCAGTGCTCAGTAATGCCTTGCAGAGAGTGGATGTTGCTGTCCATACTCTTCTGCCTTCTGGCACTGCCCTTGAATGAAGGGCACCTTGGCTGTCACCCTGAGGAAGGAGATACTTGGGGAAGAACTCTGCTCCTAGGCATCGGGCATCACCAGAGCATCTCTTGGGGCTAATCTGACCCTAATGCAGGCAAGAGAGAGCCAACTGTCTGAGCAACAAGACACAACCCAAACTTACTTCAGCAAGAGTGGGGCTGCACATCTGATAGACATCCAGAACACCAAAAACGGCGCTGGCCAGGACACACACTTCCTTGTTCTTCTTCAGATAAACTTCCTACTCCTTTTTGCGCATGTGCCAACTAACGCCCAGTCCCCTTGAGAGAGAGACACACCTCCTGCTCATATTAACTCCACCTCTAGTCCAATCTAATAAAAACCTGTTCCCCAGCTCCTATCTCCGAGGGTCCTTGCAATCTCCTGCAACCCTCCCATGCCCGCAACAAAGGCTTGTTTTATCTACCTCTGTCTCTTAGTCTATCTGGTGCGAAACCTAACAACACCCCTGAGTCTTGAAGGCAGACCTGCTTTGGACGCAATGGACTCAGACCAAGAAGTGTCACCAGACACCTCCTCCTCTCCCTCACTCTGTACTGCCTGCTGTGTGGGCTTCCAAAGGTCACAAGAAGGCTCAGACCAGTGGTGGCTGTTATGTTTTATATCTAAATGTCCCTAAAGCCTCATGCGGTTAGAAGCAGGCCCTAGGGACGGTGATTGGACTTAAGGGCATTATACTGTAATAATGTTATATTATAACTTGCTTTAGGAGGTGGGGCCTACTCAGATGAGGCAGGTCACTGTGGGCATGACCCAGGTGGGTTTGGCTCCCCTTCTAGCTCCTCCCTTTGCTCTCTCGCTGCTTCCTCACTGTCATGGCATGCGTTGCTTCTCCTCCATGCCCCTCTGCCATGCCATTCTGCCCGGGATCCAGCTGACTCTGCACTGAAACTTCTATAAACTGTGAACCAAAATAAGCCTCTCATCCTTTGATTTGTGGGAGCCAAGAAGTGTGTCTCAGCAATGAGAAAGTGACAAAGACAGCAGCTAACATCCTCACCCATCACTCTTCTTGAAAGTTCAAGTCATACACCAAGAATTGAGTATCACTGGCTGTAACTGAGTCACAGGACAACTCATGAACCAATCGCCATGACCAAAGAATGCAGTGCTCTGATTGGCAGAGCCAAGGCACAGGCCCACCTCTCTGCCTATGGGCTGAAGTCAGCCCTGCATGGAAAGGTGATGCCCCCAAGCTAAGAATGACTAGTTGCCAAAAGAGAGTATTGCCGGCTCAGCAAAACAAATATCCACTGCAGTCTGAAAACCTCTTGCAGGTCAGGCGACAAGGGCAATGCCACAATGAAAGCAAGAGAACACAGCTCTGTCAAATGAAGTGACAGGATCGGAGAGATTCACAGAGGGCAACAAGGCACTGTTCAGCTGCCTGCTGGCATAACTGTTTCACAGAGCCTGACTGGAGTGAGACGCTTGCCTAGGCACTAAATAGAGACGGGTGTGAAAACCCCTCAGCAATCTATCTAAATAACAATAGTATTTTAATGAAACATTTTTTTAAAAAAACAAAATTAATGCCCTCCAAAATCTCACAGTGACCAAAATATCAAAACTTTAAACAAAAGCAAGATAAATAAAGCCATATTAGAGCTTCTGGCAAAAGGAAAAATCAGAACTACCAAACTTTTTGTCTAAACTCTTGGTATTGTGTTCACCAGAATTTTTACATCATTTTTGAATTTTAAAACATTTTTGATCTTGGTTATTGAATTTTTTAGTACCTTCCTAAATTTGGGGGCCAAAATATTTGGCAAGTACATCATTCCCTTCACCTAGTCCAGGACCTACCGTCTTTACGTGGGGTTTGCTGAAGGCCAAAGGGAAAAGCCACCCAGGATGAGTGGGACGTCCCAAACCAGTACCCTGTAGTGGAAAGGGTCCTGGTGGGAACAGGAAGCCTAGTCCCTGTTCTGCTTTCAGTGTGCAGCTGGGACAATGTGCTTTCCTCTCTCGGCCCAGCCTCTCCACTTGCTTGGGAAGGACAGGGCACTAGAAAATGGATTTCAAAAGGAGCTGTTGAAGCGGGTGTGTGCTGAAACAGACCTTCTGCACCTCCGACCCCTACCAAATCAGCAGCCCCTTCCACGTAGCTCCAGCACAGTCTGAACACCATTACTATCTGCGGTCTCTAAGATCTCTCCGCAGACCCATCTTTCTCCCCAACAAACTGTACGTAGTTCAATTCCTGTCTACCCTTCATTTAGGTCAGTATTTCTCACATAGCCAGGAATCCCTTATATCATTCAGAGGCACCTCATATGCTTCATTAAAAATGCAGGCTCCAGGCCTTATCCTAGTCCTACAGAATCTGCTTTCCCAAGATGGGCCCGGGAATCAGCATTTTAATCAGCACATTCACCTAGCAAGGTGTCATCTACGGTCCTCCCTAATGAGATTATCTCCACAGATCCTCAGGAGCTATTTTATTCTGGAGCTTTCACTATCACAGCCCTGCTGAATTGTCCAAGGTGAGGGGGAATACTGCCCAGGTCAGACTTTGCCAAGTGGAAAAAGTCCACTGTGAGATCTCCAGGGACCTTTATTGCAGACAAGCATACTGATGACCGCTCACTCTTCTAGCCCATGTTTGGCTCCGGAAGAAATTGGCTGTGCATCTGTCTTCTTCCGGAGCACCACTGGCACCCTCAGGAATTATTTATTGCACTCTCAGGTTTCTTATTAGTACACTAATGGATTCCTGGGAGCTTGAAGCGAGCATGTCAAGGGAATTCATTTTAGACTTTGGAAATATGGCAAGTTTTTAGCAACTGCAAGTGAAATATTCATTCATTCACTCATCATTTCATTGCTAAACTTAGTTTAGAAAATTTATTGGTGAATAAGACATTTCTTCTGTTTTTCACTCCAGCTTTATTGTTATATAACTCACATACCCTATAACTCATCTACTTAAAATATAAATTCAATTGTTTTTACTATATTAACAGAGTTGTACAGCCATCACTGTCACCAATTTTAGAATGTTTTCATTGCCTGAAGGAAAATTTCACTCCATAGCTGGACGTCGTTGTACACACCTGTAATTCCAGCAACTTAGGAGGCTGAGGCAGCAGATTGCAAGTTTGAGCTCAGCTTGTGCAATTTAGCGAGATCTTTCCTCAAGATAAAACATACCTGGGCATGGTGGTACATGCCTGTAATTCCAGCACTTTGAGAGGCTGAGGCAGGATGAGAAGTTCAAACCCAGTTTGAGCAACTTTATTTCTTTATTTTTTTATTTTTTGGTTTTTTGCCGGTACCAGGAATTAAACTCACAACCTTGTGCTTGCCAGGCAGGCGCTGTGCC